TAATTTAACTATATAATAAATAACAAAAAAACTGAGATATGTCTCGTTTCTGTCGGGTCTGGGTTTTTTTCTATGGGGCGTGACCGTACTTCTTTGACGTTTGTTTTCGATAATTGTGACAGTTTGCATCGGAAACTTTACGAGAGCTCTGAGGCTGGCGAAAACTTTTCGAATATTGGTGATTAGAAGAGATGAATAAACCTTTTTAATTATAAGGTAGGTAACAAAAATTAATTACAATTATCTATAAGACGTATTTTCATATAATTACTTCAATATTTGCACTTAATCGTAAAGCTGAATTTTTGTGAAAGGTGTGTTTTTATAAGTTTGCTATCACAAAGCAGCATATATATGCTGCTTTGTGAAACGAGACATATCTCAGTTTTTTTGTTATTTATTATATAGTTAAATTATATATTTTTTATATTCGATATCAATGGCTAACACAAAAATATTGCATTATGTTTTTGTTTAGGCGTTACTCTAAAAAAATACAAAAGCCTATTTATCTACAAAATTCGTAAATGCATGTAACTAAATGACGATACAATAGTTATGGGATGTATCTAAGTGACCTTTATCCGAACGTTAAATGTGAATAGCGTTTATTGGTTTCGGTGCGAGAAGTTATCGAATCCGAGTCGAATTCGCTTGCCGAGACGATTGTGAATAGCCCGGCTGGTCAGCTAGTATACTATAAAAATTACACACACACACACACACACACACACACACACACACACACAAAACATATATTTATGTATTTATACTTATATAAATATTTTTTTTCCCTTTAAGACTAAACTTACGCTTGTACATTTACAACTACCGCTTATTATTGAGTATGCAGACGTGTGTTACCCGGATTTAAACCAAAATCTTCTTAACAAGCTAGAGCGCCTTCTCGACAATTGCATCAGACATTATCAGTCTTCGTAAACATGACCATATACTATACATATACTCTTCACTATCGCTCTGGCCTTAAATGGCTCACTATAAAACAGAGGCAAGAATTTTGCTTGTTCTCTTCTTTATATCAAATGATCCATCCACTCCTTCAGACAAATTTCAATATCTTTCCTCAACGCATGATAGATAGAACTCTGCGTTCCTAGTCTAATTATAAAATATATATGCCACAAAACCATCGATCACTAATAAAAAACTAAATTTAACAAATTTCGTTGGTAAAGAACAATTCAGGCTAAACTTCTCAGGAACTCCTTGCCCAAAGTAGTACAAAAACGTAATAGGAATATTAAGACTGCCTTTAAAAATGTGAATACTTTTTAAACACATCAGATGTTAGTTAGTATAGTCAATGTTATATAATTTGGTTACCTTTGTTTTACGTTAATTTACATATTTATGTTATATATTATCTATTTGTATTTAATATATGTATTTATATAAATATAATTACATAAATATATATTTTTTGTGTGCGTGTATGTGTGTGTGTATGTGTGTGTGTGTGTGTGTGTGCGTGCGTGTGTGTGTGTGTGTGCGTGTGTGCGTGCGTGCGTGCGTGCGTGCGTGCGTGTGGGTGTGCGTGGGTGTGTGTGGGTGTGTGTGGGTGTGTTGGGTGTGTGTGGGTGTGTGTGGGCGTGTATGGGTGTGTGTGTGTGTGTGTGGGTGTGTATGGGTGTGTGTGTGTGTGTGTGTGTGTGTGTGTGTGTGTGTGTGTGTGTGTGTGTGTGTGTGTGTAGTTTTTAGTCACCAGAGACTACATGTTTCAGATATAGACTCAGAGTACTATCAATATGGAAACCAAGAAAATTAACTGATGATGAAATGAAAGGAAAGGAAATAGAAACCAATAATTTTAACTCAGGATGAAAACGGTATCAAGCGATCATTACAATAGACGGGTGGTAGCCTCGCGGTATCAATTTTGGCAAGCATCCTCGGGCTACCTACAATCACCGCTTGTCATTTCATAGGGTTCTGAAGCGCATGGACCAATCATGGACTAAATTGAGATTAGAATTTTATTTGTCGATCGCATTATGAATCACGAATGTCAGACTGTACAGAAACTTATGGAATAGGGTTAGTAAAGATAGAGAAGATTAACAGCGAAAGTATACCGCCTTGCGGTCAACCCACTGTGGAGTCATTTGCTTCACGTGGACGGGGTGCTGAAGTCCGAGAAGGTAAGTTGAAAACCATTTCAGGAATGACGTTGCAAACTTCAGATAGGAAAAGATAGCAAGAAGGATACCATAGTCAACTGTGTTAAAATTAGCATTAGAAAAATCAACGAGCAACACAACTGTAACTTTCTTGTTTTCCATGGCTTCTCTAATATGTTCAGTTATTTTAAGTAAAGCAGTTGTGGTGCTGTGGTCGGGATGTAACACTATACTATACCTATACTGTTATATATTTAATAAAACTCAAGCTGTAAATAACCAGCATGTACATAAATCTAGCTTATTCGTAATTATATCATCGTGTGGTTAACGTGGAGATTACTCTAGCTGAACGAAGATATGTGGCATACAATCGTATGTAGGAAGATAAACCAGGGTCTTAGCAGTAGTTTTCTAGAGGATCTTGATTTTTAACCACAACACATGGTCCTGCGATGAATAATAGAGACGATAAATAATACTGACTTAACGTTTCTTTTGTTCATTGCAGGATAGTTTGGACTCTATGATACTATAGTAAATTTGAAAATGTAAGGGTTCAAACTTAAAAAGAGGTATCTTCTTGCTCAATTGATTAAAGTCAGTAAGATGTAATGTCTAAAAAACATGTTTATTATTAAATATGTTCAAGATACACAAATAAAAAAAGCTAAGCTTAATTACTTCAAAAAATTCATTATAAAGCTTTTCCATTATTTTGGAGAAGAAGGAGGTAATGGCGATAGGCCTGTAGTTGGACGAGTCTGAGCGGTCACCTTTTTTTATGGATCGGGTGGACTATACCTGTTTTCCATGAGCTTGGAACAACGCCTAAAAAGTAGGAGTAACCGGAAAAGATGCGTACGAACCGGTGCACAATTCTTGAGCACACGTTTTCAACACGGCCCACTTGATTTATTGATGTTCAGGGATAGTAATGCATATTGTATCAAAATGCGAAATATAATCCGACCCCTTATTAGATGTAGTGACTGCCTGATGTTTTGAAATTATATGAAGTAAGGTGTTGTCGTTGACTTAAACCATGAAAATATTACTACTGGTTCTCTTTATTTTTAATATTCTTTACCAGCGCTAATAATCTTAAGGTCTATATGATTTTTATATTTTTGTATTAAAGTAATGAACAAAATAGTTTTGATGTCGCCTCTAAGTCTTTGTAGTGAAACTGAAAGTACAAACTGAAAACGAAAATTTCTATCAATACGATGACCTCGCCATATCGTTGAATGGAACCGCGTTAAAATTAGGTTAACACTATTTTTACTGCGGCTTTCAACCGCAGGTGTTTGCTGAATATTCACGTGGCTTTCGTAAATAAACAAAATAGTATATTTTTATATATTATAAGTAAACTAATGGGCGGAAATTTCTACATATTAAAAGGTTTATAGCAATGATTATAAAATCTTAATAGTGACCGGTCGAGACTTTGACGACCGACTCTGATAACTAAACATAGATAGACTGACAATATAACAGCTGTGTTCTCACTGCAACCAACGTTGAATGGGACATTCTTCAAAGTAATGGATGCTAGATAACGTATTCTTGCAAAAGTGTTCTATGTGCAAGATTTCGGTAGATTATCTTTCAAAAAAAAAAAACAGCGCCGCACTTGTTGCAGTAGACCAGAGACTAGCGACCGACAAGACGACTACAGCGTTTCAGTGCACTAAAAGGCCTTCTACACGGTCGGGACCAACCACCAAACGTCGTGACCTTGGTCGAGTTGATGTAAAAATGCACAGTGTAGACATCGGTTGTCTGACCAATATTTTGGTTGATGTCCGACGGCCTTGGTCGTGAGCGCATCACTTAAAGGCCTTCTACACGGTCGGAACCAACCACCAACCGTCGTGACCTTGGTCAGGTCAAACGATTTTTGTATTCGTTCTACACGGTCGGGTGGTTGATTCAACTTGTCAGTTCTCTCCGGTATTCAAAGCGTAAAGACGTAAGGTAGTTACTTTTAAATATGGCTCCTTGCTTTTCTAAACAACAAAAATCGTTTTTTTTTTTATTAAAAGAACGTTACCCCCACACTAGGATTTCTCCTGTATTGTGAAGGCAGTTTACAAACATAGATTGCACGAGGACAAACATCCAAACCCGGAACAATTATTTGTAGGCCATACGTATTTGTATGTTCCGTGCGGGATTCGAACCCGCGGCCCCCAGCGCATCAACTCATTGTTAAGCCACTGCGCCACGGAGCCGTCAAAGGTTTAGCGTTAACGTTTCTGTGCTTGAGCAAAGATGAAAAAAAAAAGAAAAAAAAAAGAAAATGGATGAAAGAGCGCATTACTTTAAACCATCTCAATAATTTAAGGATCCTGAAGACTCGGAATTTTCTAAGAATGGATCAAGAAACTTTTAATTAATTACTTGAGATTGTGCATCCAATGATTACAAAAAAAAATACAGTTATGCGTCAAGCCGTGTCTGCTGAAGAACGATTAATAGCTACATTAAGATTTTTTGCTACGGGAAGAATTTATAAAGATCTGAGATTTAGTACAGTTACATTATTTCCATAGTGCCGTTAAACGTTCGCCCGCGACGACTACCAAGGGCGCAATGAGGCATGCCCTGGTAACTTAAAACATTTTTTATTTATTGTGAAAAGCGCCATCTATCCCGCATACATGGAACTTTTTATTGCAGTGTTACCACTCTTTTTTTACTTGGAACACTTGGTACTTTAAAATAACTGATGATTTTGCTATTTTTCTTTTATTGGTCCAGGTACACAAAAATAAATGATTTAACAACAGTATAATTTATTTTAAAAATATTTTATATTAAGTACTAGTGACATTATAATTTATATAGTATTTATTACAGTTACGATCTTAGAATCTTTAGAGTAGTTTATTGATACCAAATTTTAACAACACTGAGTCTAACTAGAAGAAATTTCTCACCGGTGTGTTTGCATACTCGTACGCATTTTTCTTGTAATTTTTGGTGTTTTTTGTGTTACTACGTTGAGTCGAGCTTCAGTTTCTTCGTATATTCCAGAAATACCGAAATTCCAGCATAGACTGTACTTTGTGGAAGTGTTTTGGACATACATGTTGATAGGCCCTCCGTAGGGAGTTTGGACCATATATATCTCAGTGTAGTGTTATTTTACATTTTACACAATGCCACGAAATATCTTCTGTGTTCCTGGGTACCAAGTAGTAGCAGAAGATGGTGAGTAAAGTGTGTTTTTATATTCTGAAGTTTCATAACCTCAATAATCTTTTAAACAAATATGTGTATTCTACGCTGGCTTATATTCTACGTGCCTAATACACCATAAACTGGTGTTTTTAACAATTAAAAAGCAGTGAAAAACGACATTTCTATTTATTCAGTAAGTCAAAATTTCTAAAATACCATTAGTTCCTATAAGGTTTTTTAACATTTAAAAATAATAAATGCTACATGTAGGTTCTTATTCTAGAATGATGCTCAAACACAGCTTTACTTGAGAATGATTTGAGTCTATCATTTCATACAAATACGTCACTAAGATGTGCTCAAATTGAGATCGCCGCTGAGTGTCGTTCTAGAATACGGGCCGTAGTCTGTCGGCTCAGTTAACTCATAGTAAACCTTAGAGCAAGGACTAAAACATGATAAACAATCTTGACATGTCTTTTTTCTCAATTTGCATTTAAAAGTTGAGTTTCTTGCATGTTTTTCTCCTTCGGAATCTACATTTTCAAACATGCACCTAAAATCTCGACTTTCAAAAGTCAAATCAATAGGCATTGATATGGTCTAAATGAATAAATAAGATTTGACTTAGATTGAAAAAATCTCTAAACTTACTAATGAATCTAAGACAAGCCACTGACCTAACTATTACATAGAGTTCACAAGAGGGTTTATATATATTTCATTTGTAAATTCTTAGATTTTTGAAATGCAAGGTAAAGTGAAAAGACATAATTATATTATCAAGATTCTTTATCTGTAGTAAATAACCTAGACCGATAGAGAAAATGATGAAAATTAATAATTTAGTTGATTGTCCCTATGGTACAAAAGTCATCCTTGATATCAGATGATATATATGTAATTATAATAAACTCTCTCACATAAAATGTGGTTCTGTAAATCTGCATCTACTTACACCACTTTAGCCAGGCTTTTGAGTTTTTGAAATTGTCTTTTATAACATTGCTAGTCTTTAGAACTCTGAACTAAGTGATCTTGAAAAATAATTATGATTAATTATTTATCAATAACTTAATTTATTTTACTATTATTAAATTACATTATTATGTATTGTAAAATAATGTAGAGTAACTTAGAATGATTAAAAATCACATTTCATTCAGGCCCATTATAGTCACTTTATTTTATTTTCAGGTGTACCTCTACATTACTTTCCATGTCCTGAGAAAGATGCAGAAAGGTTTCATAATTGGGTAAAGATTATTGGAGGTGGTATTGTGAGTCTGGACAACACCTGTAAAACTCATAGAATCTGTCGTCAGCACTTTCAGAAAGAGTTTCTTTACCCAAAAAACAGGCTTTGTAAATTGGCTGTTCCATCTTTGCTTTTACCCTCTGCAGGTGTATCAGGTAAATCAGTTTTTGATTAAGTTTATTTGATACTAGCAACTGTGTTAGTTTCACACAGGTTATAAATGAATGTACAATAAAACATATATTTATTGTACATTCATTTATAACTTGTGTGAAACTAATGAATTAAGTGAATTAACCAAAAACAATATAATATGTTTTTGCAATTTGTTTTAATTACAATATATTTAATTAAAGGTATGTGGGACAAATTTTTGTTAGGCAACCCGGGAGTAATGTAGGTCATAATCATTAAACATTAATTTGAATTGAGTTTCAATAAAATTTAGTACCTACATTTTCTTTATAAAAACAAAATGGCATTATAGCCCAGCGGTCAAACACTTGCATTTCATGCAGGTTATGTAAGGAACAGAATTTGATTATTGATTACTTGTCTAAAGAGAGAAGAGGATCATTAGAGCTATTTACAATCTCAAACTGAGAGAGTCTCTTAGAGATAAATTTAAAGAAATAAATATATTAACTTAGGCCTCTCAGTATCTTTACGAAAATTTAATGTATGTTCACAAAAACAAAGATAGTTTTAGTAAAAAAAGTGATGTACATTCTGTAAACACTAGGAACAAAGACCAAGCTAGTGACCCAATTTCTCGACTCCACAGAGTCAGTAATTCATTCTTGGGGCAATGTATACGCTATTACAACAAGGTCCCGGAAAGTGTACAGGTTCTCTCTGTTACCAAGTTTAAATGTTTTATTAAACTGAAACTGTATAAAAAGGGTTATTATAGTATAAATGAATACATGGTTGATAATAATCCCTGGGAATGAGGTGGTCGCTTCCAAGCAGTTTCTAAAATAAATTTTGTAAATAGTTTGTAATCATTTATATAGTAAAATTTATTTTAAAAAAAAGTCCCGCTGGGTTTCTTGCTGGTTCTTCCCAGGACAGAGGGTTTTTTTTTCGAACCAGTGGTAAAGTAAAAAATGACTTTCAATAAGAATTACACATGTAATGTATATTGAATAAAAAATTATTCTATTCTGTTCTATTCTTGCTTTAACAGTGCTGGAAAACATTGGGAGAAAAACTCCACACCTGAGAGGGCCTCATAAAGTTCTCAATGTGTGTGTAGTCCGCTAAACCACATCAGGGCAACATGTGGACTAAGGCTTAATCCTTCTACTTCTGAGAGGCCTGTGCCTAGTAGCAGTGGGACAGTAATGAATTATTATAATCAATATCAGTAGCCAAAAAATGATTTGTATGATGCATGTTTTATGAGACACATAATGTACACTTGGTGTGAAATGCCTCTAAACATTATCCAGTAGTTTAGGATGCCCCAATAAAAAAAGCAAATACAATAATTTAATACTTATATATATATTTTTAACATAAAATTATAATTTCTAGAAAGTGGGTGCTTGCCAGAGGAAAGTGTGGACACTGCACATTTGATAATGCTGTTCAACAACCTGTTCGACTCAAATTAACATAAAGAAGAAGGTAAAATATACAGATCTGCTGTCACACCAAACTCATCCCATTTAAAATTATGGAACAAAACATTACCCATTTTAAGGTCAATGAAGTATATAAATAATAATAGTAAAAAGGTAACTGTACCATCTCTAACCAGTTGGGTAAACACTATAAAAGGTTTTAAATTAATAACAAATAAGTTAAGGGCAGAAATTATCAATGAACATTTAAATATTGATTTAATAAATACACAACAAATTCTAGAAAGCCGTACCAAAGTTCATGTAGAGAAATGCGCGGCCATAGCTTATTGTAGTGGGTGGATAGCAATCAAAACAAAAAAGTTTATATTTAAAAAATGTATGTAATAATGCAGATTTCCACAATTTTATAATAAAAAAAGAATATTGTGGCAAAAGATGGTTATGCTATCCTACCCGGCCATTGTTTGACTTTTTTGCACCAGTAGAACACATAACATGGAATATTTTAAATAAATATGCACATGTAGAAAACATTGTTAAATATATCATGCTGTTTATATCAGTCCACATAGACTTAAATTTTATGAAATGTGAAAAACATTAAGAAAATTTAAAGAAATATTTGGTCCATCAAAGTGTTGTGCTCTTCATAATTACTTGGTGCAAAGAAGTCAGCAATAAACTTAATAGCAAGAGCTATTATAATTTATGTAATGATAGCGGTGAAAATGTCTCCATTTTTCCTACGGGCTTGAGAACATTACAATAAAACAAAGGGTGCGAAACGAGAGGCAAAACGGCGTCGAAATTAATGTATTAATGTATAATTAATAAATTCATTGAATTATATATTTTTGTATTATTTATCTCATTACCTTTACCCGAATACCCAAAGATACTTAAACTTGTGTATCTAAAAACATCCCTAAAAATATGCTTACTTCAAAACACTGTTTAAGTATCTAAAACGACATATAAATAATATGTATAGGTACTTACGTATGAATTGCCGTTTTATTTATAGATAAAATATTCTATCTATAAATAAAACAGCAATTCATACGTAAGTACCTATACATATTGCCATATACGCAACTACGTATATATATATATTATATATATATATATATATATATATATATATATATATATATATATATATATATTAGTTCATTGCTTGGCGTTCAGAGGGCGCTGAACGGTAACTAAATATGAAAACTTCAGTTGCCAGTCTATCTCCAGTATTATATATTAGTCTATGCAATGAGGTGCCTTGCCGCCTGGCGCTCTCGTCGACTCGTCGGCCGACAGCTTTCCACACGGTCGGCGTCAACCACGGACCCGACGTGTCGTGAGTGATGCGCTCGCGACCAAAGCCGTCGGACATCAACCAAAATATTGGTCAGACAACCGATGTCTACACTGTCCATTTTTACATCAACTCGACCAAGGTCACGATGGTTGGTGGTTGGTCCCGACCGTGTAGAAGGCTTTTAACGACACGTTGGGTCCGTGGTTGACGCCGACCGTGTGGAAAGCTGTCGGCCGACGAGTCGACGAGAGCGCCAGGCGGCAGGCACCTCAATGCGTGCTTGGCAGTCGTCGCGGGCGAACGTTTAACGCCACTATGGAAATGATGTAACTGTACTAAATCTCAGATCTTTATAACTTCTTCCCGTAGCCATAAATCTTAATGTAGCTATTAATCGTTCCTCAGCAGATACGGCTTGACGCATAACTGTATTTTTTTTTGTAATCATTGGACGCACCATCTCAAGTAATTCATTAAAAGTATCTTGATCCATTCTTAGAAAATTCCGAAAGTCTTCAGAATCAAGAATCCTTAAAATATTGAGATGGCTTAAAGTAATGCGCTCTTTCAGCCACAATTTCATACATTTTCTTTTTTTTTCTTTTTTTTCATTTTCGCTCAAGCACAGAAACGTTAACGCTAAACCTTTGACGGCTCCGTGGCGCAGTGGCTTAACAATGAGCTGATGCGCGGGGGGCCGCGGGTTCGAATCCCGCACGGAACATGTATTTGTATGGCATACAAATAATTGTTCTAGGTCTGGATGTTTGTCCTCGTGCAATCTATGTTTGTAAATTGCCTCCACAATACAGGAGAAAATCCTAGTGTGGGGTTAACGTTTTTTTAATAAAAAAAACTATTTTGTTATTTAGAAAAGCAAGGAGCCATATTTAAAAGTAAACCTTCCGTCTTTACGCTTTGAATACTAGTGAGAACTGACAAGTTGAGTCAACCACCCGACCGTGTAGAACGAATACAAAAATCGTTTGACCCGACCAAGGTCACGACGGTTGGTGGTTGGTTCCGACCGTGTAGAAGGCCTTTAATAGTGTAAAGCTTTAAGTCGTGTCAGTATTAGTATTTTAAAGTACTTAAAAGATTTTTTATTTGACATTATATGCTATATTACCGTTTTTATGAACTCGCTTTCGTGTGCGTCTGTTCGAGTGTTAGAGTATACATAAGCATAGCTTGCATGTCTGGCGGGTGGAAGGAAAAGGGGAGATCTCCCGCCGGGCAAAGTGTTCTGCCCGGGGAGCGGCCAACGCTCCAATTGGTAGTTCAGAGTTATTCTATATATGCTACTTTAATTTCGGAACTTTGTTAGTGCGATTTAGGCTTCGATGTGTTTCGCTTGTGGCGCGACGACAGCGCCGCCACACATGTATTGTGCACCAAGCATGTAGGTAAATACTCTAAAGTTCGGGAAATTATTTTCCTAATAATTTAGAAACTCTTGAACATCGTAAACGATCTGCGTAAATGAACGCTGGATATCGAGAAATCGTTGGGTACGCCCCTTCGCGGGTACTTTACGATGACTAAGCCGCCCAATTTTTTTCATTGCTGCCCGTGTTTAACAAACACTTATCGAATATATAAAGATTCCGATATATTATTGCGACAGTCATAACACAAATTATAAACCCCAAAACAATAACTGATTTATTGTAAAAAAGGATTTTTGAAAACCAGAATTAATTAATAACATGCAAATAACCCCTTAAGCTCAATAAAAGGCAATTATATCGATATTACAGACACAGACACTTCAATTTCATTTATATGTATGATAAGTATAAAATAATATCTAGTGTAAACTGTAATGTGATAATAGCTCTCAATTTGTAACCATCGGTGCTATCTCGACGCAGTGGCGGAGGCAGAAGGGCACGTCACTCAATTGGTTAATTACTACTTGTTCACATTCATCTCAGTTTAAAGTTATACAGTTTCATACGAGCTTTAAATAGCAATATAAGCAGTATTCATGCAGCCCTGATGCCATTTTTTAACTCATAAATCACCTATCTATCATTATAATTTCAAATTTTGCTCTTAATTGTTATATTAAATAATGTTATGATTATAAAGTATTGTAATTAAAATAACTTCATTACCTGCATAGTTAATAAGCAAATGAAGTAAAAACAATTTGCTTTTCTATTTAATTTAAGTTATATGTTACTATCGCAAATTTAATTAATAATTCGAACGATTTCACTATTGTTACGTTTAAGTTAATAAAACCAAGTGTTTAGTAATAACAATCTGATTCTGGACCTAACATTTCAAGTTGACTTTCCAAATAAGGTTAAGACAGTTTGTCAAAGACTTAAAACGAGCTTACGAGTCGATCTCCCCACGCACAGTTTTATGGCCCAAAACAACTTGATTATGTAGTATATTTTTTTAAAGAAATATTTTAAAAGAAACCAGAAAGAATGACTAACTTATTGGAAATTATCTTTTAGCACGTGATGTAAAAGTAAAGTTTAAAAAAAAAGTAATACAGGGTTATTTTTGAAAGAGTAACCAAATTATAAATTTAAGTTCAAATATATAAACAATGATATATCGTTATTGCAGTTTTTGAAAATACGAGTAAATAAGGCTTCTACTTTTATTTTAAATTATCCCAAATTGAATGTGATTAATGGGGAACAACGTTTTTGCTTACCGATCTATCCTTACGAACGTGCGTGCGAAGTAAAATCAGTTCAAATAATGCATTACCACGCATTTTGAATTTTAAAGATAATAATTTAAAATTAAAAATTTTGTACAGCCGACTTCAATATAAGTTATTAGGAATGACTCAAAAACTATTGGCTTGACCTTGATCAAATTCATATAGGACCACACGAGAACTACCAGCTTTCAAATAAAAAAAGAATTATCGAAATCGGTCCACCCAGTAAAAAGTTATGAGGTAACGCATAAAAAAAATACAGCCGAATTGAGTACCGTCTCCTTTTTGGAAGTCGGCAGAAAAGGACAGAATGTTTGAGATTTTTTAAAATTTACAATTTGCCTATATTACATATTCTGAACGTTCTCTGCTAATTTAGCCAGTTATTGTAAAATAATCCTGTATACAATTTGTATGCAAATAACTTAAGTAAAGCTTTAATATCGCCGAAGCTAAAAAATACTAGATTGTTTTAATTTAGCACACGTTCCTAGAGAATAATAAATAAAAGAATATTAATAAAATTAATGACGTATGACTTAAGTTTTTTGTCTCAGTAAATTTTATATAAATGAAAAAAAAAATGTTCTAGTGCTTAGTTTCTAGAAGTAATATACTTAATCTTTTCGAAATAACTGACATATGATTAAAAAAATATTTAATTCATCGCACGTGCGGTACAAGCGTGAAGATTTAGGTGCATTATATACAACAGTAATAAACTAACCGATGCAACAGCCGCAGAGGCGCATTGTGTGCGGACGCTGGGCGGGGCGCGTCGCCGCATCACCGCAACATCTCAACACGCTCCTCGAGTTTGCCTCTTTCACACTCACACGCACGTTTATCTCAATACGACGTATTTCGTTATCGCAATCCCAATTAAACGAGCTATTCATACGATCCTATTTGCATTGGTAATACAATTCGCCTCTCACAACATGTTCGGATACATGATCGTATAAAATGGAATTGTAGTTCTTCGAAAGTCACGCTGAACCCATGAATTTAAAATTGAAATTTCATAATCGGATTTAATAATAAAACAATACAAGATTAAGCATTTCGTATTGCGAAAAGGATCTACTTGCCGGCCATTTTATAATCTGTGGTGGCAAAGCATAATGTAAATAAACATTGTCGCAAAAAGCGCCTTGGCATTGGTAATATATTTTAACGCGCGCGAATTTATATTATATAGTTAACATAACAGACAGTTTAATTATGTATGCTTAGAAAAAGTGCACACTACTACTTTATTTATTCATATGAAAAAAAAACAGTAGGTCACATATTAGATTTATACATATTAAAAAAGAAACGCCCAACTGAAAAGCTGATTGATATTAATTTTGACGTAATTCTTCAATTGAAACTCATTACCATGTTATAGTAACCTCGTATCTTAATTTACTTTAAGACAACACATTATGTTTAAAATCAGAGTAACTATGAAAAAAAAAACGTTTTCCCGCGTCACACTTATCAACCTCAGTCTATTTCCACAAAATATCTCGGATGAACAAACACCGAACCCGGTACGATAATAATATGTGCTTCTTATGTTTTCTAAACAAAGCGCTCTACGCTAGGCTTTGAACAAATTCGCGTACTCATATGATTGAATAAACAAAATATTACAGATATCAAGTCCGCGGCGCGGCTAAAGTAGACAATTGCAATAATCATTAAAGCAACGTCCTGGTTATTGCCGTGGGTTGCGAGCGAAGGGGCGCGCTGGACGACGTCGCTCGGGTTACTGCGTCGCGACGGCGGAGACGGAGGCGGCGGCGCCGGAGCATCTAAATCGGGATCAACTTGCAAGTCTCGCGGCGACTCAAATA